CTGTATTCGGAAACTAAAACATCACTACCACACACACTGAACATACACAGAACACACACACTCTACTAAGCTGAAAAAATCGAATCATCCTTGATAATGGCTAAAGGTATAGCTGAAAGCGCTCGGAAATACAGAACATTCGGACAGTTCTTACACACTCTTTGTCCAGAAAAGAAAGCTCTTGTCAGAACACAAGAAAAATTAAATAAAAAGCTCAACCGTAGTACCTTGTCTGTCGTTTTTAATGAAACATGCATAAAGGAAGGATTGCTGCCTAAATATACAAATATATATATATATATATATATATATATATATATATTTCCGCCCTCTTTTAGTTTCAAATTAACAAAATATTCTTCATATAACCCCAATTTAATGTTATAATGTTATTTTTCAAGTTTATAAAACCTCTTCCCTTTAAGGCTAATAACTTCCACCCTCCCCTAACAATCTTCTCGGTCATTATCTCTGACTAAGACATCGAAATGGATAAATTCTGTATCAATTTTTCGACGGCTGTCAAAGTTAAAATTTTAATTCCGACACGAACTCAGTTTATACACCGGGGTTGAATAAGGCTAACGTAGTTTTCGTCGGTTGAAATAGATCTATCTCCATCCCCATATGAGCTAATTTGTATTTTTTTGTGAAATACTCTCTCTCTCTCTCTCTCTACATATATATATATATATATATATATATAGATAGATAGATAGATAGATAGATATGCTAAGGGTCGCCAAACTTGCTTAATGTCAAAGACACATAGGATAAAATTCGCATATTTGAGAAACGCGAGATACTAACAAAATTTAGACATACGTTTTTGTTACATACTCATGTGACCACTCTCACTACCCGCCCCCAGGCACACCCAAACTTTTATGCCCTCAGTTTTATGACGTTCATCTGTAACCCTTGCTGGCCGGAAATTTCAATAATACCTCAGCCTTCCACAGTTCCTTCCCCCCCTCTCTCTCTCTCTCTCTCTCTCTATATATATATATATATATATATATATATATATATTTATATATATATATGTGTGTGTGTGTGTGTGTGTGTGTGTGTGTGTGTGTGTGTGTGTGTGTGCGTTTGTGCTAAAATTCCCAGAATAAATCTGTAGAGAAGACAAATTAAAAAAATAGTTAATCGGAAAATAGTACTTGTCATTGCAGACGCGTTTCATCATTCGACTTCATCAAGGCAAGTGAGGATAAACAGAAGGTAAATGTGTAGTTTAATGAAATTCAAAAAACATTAAAAGACGCTTCTTTTTAAAGCCTCTTTTTGGACATAAAAAAACACACTTTTAGTAAAAAAAAAATAATAAAATTCTTATTCTTTTTTTTTTACTACGAGTGTGTTTTTGTTTTCTATATCGACAATGTGTTAATGTTCTCAGTATATATATATATATATATATATATATATATATATATATATATATATATATATACTCGTTTGGAAAAGTAAAGACAAACCACACAACGCCCCCCCCCCAAGTGTAATTGTCGGAATAAGGAAACCTGCCCTATGGAGGGCAAGTGCTAACAATAGAGGGGTCTATCAAGTAAAAATACATAAAAATAAACTGAACAATATTGATAAGAACACCAAAGTTTACATAGGATCCACACAGAATAGTTTCAAAAAGCGATATTACAACCACCTCAGTAGTTTCAATAGCGAAACCTATAAACATAGTACTAACCTGTTCGCATATATATGGAAGATCGGACGAGAAGATAATAATGACCCCAGTAGATGTAGGCATATTAAAAACTGGTTATTAGAATAGGATTTTTTGTTGTTGGTTCAACGAAACATGCATGAACATGTCTGCTAACTCACTTCCTCACTTAATTTACATATGTTTAATACGGCCCGTCAAAAATGTGCAAATTTTCTTTTCATTTTTTGTTTGGAAGTAAAGTCTGATGATCCGCAGTCCTTTTAAAAGGGCTGTGGTGAAATAATTTATTACATGGAACTTTAAAGTGGTCTGTTTTTATTTAAATTATTTGCTCTGGACTTACATTGAGCTCTCTGGATTTTATCCTCCTTTGGTTTACCCATACGGATTACGTAGTTTTTCATAACATATATATATATATATATATATATATATATATATATATATATATATATATATATATATATAGATGCAGTCTGGGATTCGAGCACTTTACTGGGCAGGTAAGTTTTCCTTTAGACGTTTCATTCTCTTTCCTTTTTCAGTATTGTCAGTTTTATTCGACACTGTATCTGGCTAAAATGTATCTGTTTAGGCAAGTTGTCCATTGTTTCCACTAATGGTTATATATATATATATATATATATATATAGGTAACTATACTTGTTTCGAAAAACCCTCGAATTTTTTATTTGCCAATAAGCTTTCCCTGACGATCCGCTTAGGTGAAACCTGGGTAGGTTTGTCTGGCTCACTAGGTTTATTATATATATATATATATATATATATATATATATGTGTGTGTGTGTGTGTGTGTGTGTGTGTGTGTGTGTGTAGAGAGAGAGAGAGAGAGAGAGGAGAGGCATAGCGAGTTGTTGTTAAGCGTTGATTTTAGTTACATAAAGGCCCACACAGTACAACGTGTAAATTACGTACATTAACCATTATTTTCGACGATACGTGTAAGCTCATTTTACGATAACCAAAATAGAAATAATGATAATAGTCAGAAGATAAATACAATTGAAATTATTAAACTTGCAATGTCGTAAATATGTCAAGATCTCAAGATACTATTCCAAATGAATTAAAATAAAAGCAATTGTTTCATTCTTGACTTCAAATCAATCTGTAAATATCAGCCTGCTTGTAAGTCTCTATATTTTCTCCTTTTTTCGAGTTTTTACAGAACGACAGCAATCGTTTAAACACCTATAAAAGTCCGCAATACCCTTTTTTGCGGATAATGAGAGATACGAAGTAAATCATATATTTTGTTTTTATTTCCTTTCTTTTTTTCCCGCAGTTGTTATTTAGATAATGGTTTTGCTTCTGCTTTACGGTGAAATTTATTTTCGCTTTGTGAAACTCGGGGCCATGATAGCTACACAGTCTGATCTTATCAAACATAAATAAAGTGAATCATGATTCGTTTAACGTTGAACTCAGAGGATTTTATTATGGATCGTTACAAAGATAACGCACAACGCCCATAGTTGACGCCTATTTGAAACAATATCTCTGAGTAGAATTAAATAAGTAAATGAATAAATAAGAACAATACAAGTACCTTTATAAAATTTCTATTGCCATAAATTCAGCCAAGATTTAACATTCATTCGATGGCATTTCCACCCAAAAACAAAGGGCTTATTTTTAACTTTGTGTTCTTCAGTTTGCCGTTTCCCTTTGGTATGTAAGAGGGCATGGTTATCCACAACTTCCTTTTTAATGATTAGCAATGTTTCTTTTTTTTTACTAGCCTTCCCCCCTCTAGAATTTATTTACACAATATTTTTAGACAGGTTACTCGTTGTTTACTCCTGCCTCTCTTGCCTTCGATAGAGTATCCCATTTTCTGGACGTTCTTTACTCATTATGCGTCCTAGAAATTTCAACTATTTCTTTCTGATATACACTCCTGGGCAAATAAATTGAAACAAAACGAATAATTCTGTTATTTAGGGTTTTTTTTTTACAATGAAACATGACCCAGTGCACCTGTTAGTACTTCGGATGTCGATTCCATAAAGTCTCTCCTTGCAGATTAACTACAAATTCTCGATTTATTCTGGATTTAAATCGGGAGAGTTTCCGAACCAGTCGATAATACTTTGATTTGCTCATTGGCAAGACTTGCCATTGTGTTCATGTAGCGTTACAATTTTCGTACGCTTCCTTGGAGTAACGTACATCGGAGACAATGGCCGTAGGACAACTAATCGACAGGTGAGGCAATAGTGTCTGAGCGTGATAAAAAATCTTATGCATTGTCGAATGACGCAATGTTTTTCAAGGTCAAACGAATTTCGTCATACACTCCGAAAACAGATTCATATTACTGCACACCACTGCAAATGGCCTAATCTGAGGTAAAATAGAAATCGATTACACACTGTCACTCCAGTGGGTCTAAAAGTGACCGTTGTTTCAATTAATTTGCACATGGGTGTAAATATAACAGTCCTTTTTGCTTCCATTTCTCTAAAAACTCCCTCGTTTCTTTCCTAGGTCGTCCATAGTACTCTTAGTATCCTTCTGTAGAACCGCATTTCTCTTTCCTTTAGTCTTTTCTTTATCTGTGAGGAAATTGTCCTGTATTAACTCCTACATAAAATATTGCTATTACGTAACTGCTATGTAGTCGTTTTCTCTGTTTTAAACGAAATTCTTCTGCTTCTTAATGTTTTGCATTAAGTGCGCCCAGCATACTTGTCAAGTGCATGACCTTATCTGCAAGTATCCTATTATACACAGTGGTCCACCTGCTGCGTACTTATTACTAGATATTATTGAAAACTGCGCAGATTTTAGAGAATTACCTATTTGGGTTTCAGGGAGGCGTTGACAAGCACTGTCAAAGGATTGATCAATGTTGTGTAGCCATATCAACCAGCCGCCATTATTTGTCAAGGCCAGTGCCTCTAGCACGCACACGTGCGTAACAAGTGTGCCTGGCGCACATGTTTGTTTCTGTTTTATGCACCGTGGGCGTGAATGTCGGCACGATTAGTTTTCATGGTTTGTTTTTTTTTTTTTTTTATTATTTCCCGGATTTGTTTTATGTCTTTGTTATTCAGTTTCTTATCATTTCCTATCACGAATTATTGGCGCAAGTCACAAGCCTCTGTGAAACGAAACTGGATCAGTTAAGATTTACTGTGATCAAGGTGTAACTACTATCTTGATACTGGAATCAAACCAAAAGTGTTTCTTTTTTTATTATTTTTAAAATATTCTAGTCTTCCCCTTTCTTTGGGTTTGATATTAATAGGATTCTTCACTCCCTCCACATAGTGACATAGATAGATAGATAGATAGATAGATAGATAGATAGATAGATAGATAGATAGATATGAACAGAATAAGTAGATAGATAGATAGATAGATAGATAGATAGATAGATAGATAGATAGATAGATAGAAAGTGACTGGAATAGATAGATCGGTATGAAAAATGAGATAGATATGAACAGATTGAGAAAGAAAGAAAGAAAGAAAGAGACTGGAATAGATAGATCGGTATGAAAAAATGAGATAGATATGAACAGACTGAGATAGATAGATAGATAGATAGATAGATAGATAGATAGATAGATAGATAGATAGATACAAAGTGACTGGAATAGATAGATCGGTATGAAAAATGAGATAGATATGAACAGATTGAGATAGATAGATAGATAGATAGATAGATAGATAGATAGATAGATAGATGAATGAAGAGACTGGAATAGACAGATCGGTATGAAAAAATGAGATAGATATAAACAGACTGAGATAGATAGATAGATAGATAGATAGATAGATAGATATGTAAAATTTTTCTGTTTCTTAATGTTTTGCTTAGCTTTTGGAAAGCACCATTAGCTATCCCAATGCGCCTTCGTATTTTGGGGTCACACATTGAAGCTGATCTATTCTGTGTTCTTATTCTAAACGTTCGGCATGAAAAAAATGGCTTGTAAATTTCAATAAATATAGCAAATAAATTGTTATTGCAATTCAGCACTTTTTTCCTCTGTTTCTATCGAATTTTTTACGGGAGTGAATTTCTGACCACATATCTCAGAGATGAGGTATTAAGATTATTTACATTATTCGGACTGTTATCCTCATCTTCATTGCCATATTCACAACGTTGTACGCTCTGGCATTTTCAGGTGATTGGAATTTCAATTCGAACCATTTATTTCACCCACGGGGGTAGATTCTTCTAGATTCTTCTAGTTCCACGTGCCATACCACTGCTGTAGTCAGGTATTGAACGCACAACTCTTTGGGTCTAGTCACTGGATTTTACCAACGCCTTTATTCAATGGGCCATGTGTACTTGTAGAAATAAAGGGTTCGTTTCGAAATCCAAAGCTCGGAGCGTACAACGACCGAAAAGTTGTGAATATGACAATGAAGATGAGGATAACAGTCCGAATAATGTAAATAATGGGGAGTGAATTATTTTTCCCAAGACTAATTTCCGATATTATTGTATCTTTTCAAGGATGATTTTATCATCTCCTTAAAACGAATCCGTAATTAAATGTTTCTCGGAAAAGGGATGTCTATATTAATTTTATGATTGATCTTCCACTGTCATTATTAAACGCCATTATTGATGTTCAGCGTAAAATGCGGTATTAATTATTAAAAATAAAATAAAATAAAAAACAAAACAGACATGAAATGAAAATATTATATTGAATCAATTACTAGGTCTTCTGTAGGAAAATTAGTTCACTGTGTCGTATTAAACAATTTTTCTCGCCTAAAGTTGTCATACACATTTATAGAGTTACAATTGGCCCATGCATTGAATATTACTGTTGCATCTGGGTTGCTGCTTCTGTTATGTATTTAGAGATTCTTGCTTTGTTTTGGGTTGCTTCGTTCTACGGCAAATTAACCTCATTGGTTTATTTAATGCCAACAAGATTTTTATTGCCGGTAATATTTCTTTTCAGAAATGTATTGCTCGTAATAGTTGCCCCCTCCCACAAAAAAAAAGTATCGTTGGTATTAAAATCTATTTTTATACTTTCATAGTGTTTGACCACTTTTGGGGATATCTATTTGCCAATAGCTGGGTCCATGACAGGTGCTACCATCCCAGTTCAGGGTGGACCTGGGAACGCCAGCAATTAAAAGGTGGTTCCAGGCTCCTCAAAACCGCCTGAGCAGATGCCATGCTGTCGGATGCCTTTATCGTCTTACCCAGGACGGCGAGATAGATTCTTGATGTATCAACAATATTAATGATCCTGGCCTGGCATCTCGGTTTCTTTTCCCACCGTCGCAACGTAGCTTCCCTGTACCCTTTTTATAAATATATTCATGGTAATTTTTTTCTGATGAACTTGATACCTAGATTTTATGAATTTATGCGCAGTACTTGATTGGCGGTGCGGTCTCAGCATTTTACAGTTGGAATGGCTAGCTGTAATCATAAAATCTAAATTAAAAGTTTCTTCTGCGCTTCTCAATTATCAAACTCTCTTTCGGCTTCTTCCTTTCAATCTTTAAAAATTTAAATGCAATGTCAATCGATATTTTCTGTCCCCTTCATTCGACGTCGTCTAAAGTGCAGTAGGTGATACATCCAGGTGGAAATGGTTCGAAAGCAGAAAGGTCCACGGTGGCGTGCTGTGTCCCACTATTGTGGTTGTTCGAACCAATGGACTAAACTCGAGGAATCCATTATTTTCTGTCGCAATTCGAAGTAGGGGAGGACGGTTCTTTTCTTCGTGACGACATACGAATTGATTTGTTTTTGAAGTTGCCGTCTTCTAACATTTGACTAAAGAGGCAGGACCTACAAGGCAGAAATTTATCATCTTAATTAGTGTTCTTTTTATTGCTCTCTCACCTTAATAGCACTCATTAACCTTTGCGTCTTAGGGACTTTATAGCCTTTGTTGAGCGAAATGATTAAAAAAAGTAATTATAAGTTTATAATATATATATATATATATATATATATATATATATATATATATATATATATATATATATGCTCATTGGTCCTTTTATTTCTGTCCATATTTTCTTTAGTTTAATCCCACCTCCTCTCTCTCGTTAGGGTGTCAGTGATGTCAGTTCTCTGGGGGGTTCTGGGGGTGCTTTGTGCTTCGGGTAGTTTTATCGTTGTTGTGTCTGAATGAGCGTGTATCTGAGTGAATGCTTGGGATGAATAATTGTTTTATATTATTAAAGTTCCGCATTGCTTTCGTCCAATTAACTGATGGCTCTGCCACATTTAAGATTTGTAGGTGGGCTTATTACTAATATTATTTTGTTTAGTTTCTTGTAAATCGTTTTGCTCATTTTTGTAAATATTCATTTCGGGTAGGGTTTTTTAACTCGTTGTTTTATTCCCCTCCCCCACAGACAAGGAATTGTACATATGGGGACTAGTTAGGATTTTCATAGAGACAATGAGGTATTATGGTGGGTGTTGTAAGAAAGGTAAGTAAGAGTGTGTTGCTTTGGTGTTAGGAATATTGTGGTATGTTTGGGTCAGTGTTTGTGGCTAGCTAAGTTTAATAGTAACACAGAGGACCGTTCTTTTCCCCATTCCCCTTTTTGGCCTTGTCTGCTAGGGTGACAGTTGAAGATTCCAAAAGCCACATTTTTGTTTCGCGACCACTCTACCAACCTGTGATCTATATTGAATTTGTACTGTAAAATATCATGGTTACAGTTTCTGAGATATCTCGAGCAATTTGACGTCATCAGAATTTGGAGAATGTTAGTTCTGTGGAAGGCTCGCTGAATCCTTGCTAGCATAACCATGGATGGATTCCGAATAATTTCGTCTTCGGACAGAATGGTAATATTAAGCGTTTTCTTTATAAGGAAACATTCGGAATTCAATGACCAAGCAGCTAGGGATTGTCTCATTTATAATTTTTAAGAGAAAGGTTTTAAACAAAAAAGAAGAATTTTTTTTCAATTCCCGCTTCCCGTCTTTTAAATAGGATTAGCGATTTATCTCTTGTTTCCTATTTAGTATTGGGTTTCCGATCTACCGCCCCCCTTAAAGTGTTCTCATTCTCTTTTCCTCCCATTAAACCTTTGCTTGGGGTGAAAACATATCAGGGAAATATGTTTCTCAAATCCAGTAGCTGTTATCGATCTTTCCAGTATTGGCGGGCGGCGAGGTTCTTTCATAAGAGTGAGAAGCGTCAACATCTTGCAATTCTCTTCAAGTTACATGAGATAGCCATTTTAGTTGTTACTGCTGCTGAAAGTCCACAACTGATGTGGTTTCTGTTATTTCATCCAGTTGTTTCTGGTTATATAATGCTAGTCAACGAGGTTCGGCAAAGGATTGTCCTCACACTCTTCACTCGCTCGAAACCATTTTTAATCATCAGTCAGAGATAGCGCATGCATACAGTTGACAGTTTAAATATTTCTGAACGAGTTTTCAGGCATTCATTGCAACGATACAAAAGTCTCCATTAGAGTAGTATAATTGTGTAGTAGCTTGCGGTTGTGTAGCAGCTTGCGGTGGTGTGTGAGACTACCCCTAGCATAGCGGAATCTATGTTTAATTTCTTTATCTCCTATAGTATATGTCTTGTAACTTCAGTACCTGTCTATATTTCTGAGATGAGGAACTATGTACACTATTTACATTATTCGGACTCAAGGACACATGACACAGTGGATAAAGGCGTCGGTTAGATCCAGTGACAGGACCAAAGGAGTGTGAGTTCAATACCCGGTTAAGGCAGTGGAGAACTTGCAGAGTGGAATTAACAGGAGATAACTGATAACTGACATCCATTAAACATGGCACGTGGAACTAGAACAGTGAGTGAAATAAACGGTTCAGTTCGACATTCCAACAACCTGAAGAAGGCGGGAGCGTACAACGGCCGAAACGTTGTAATAAATATGGCGACAAAGATGTGGAAAATAGTCCGAATAATGTAAATAGTGTATGTAATACATCATCTAAAAAATATAGAGATAGTGTTTAAAAATGTATTAGTAAATTTAAGGATTAATTACCTGAATTTTTTAAACGGACAGGTTAAGGCAGTGGAGAACTTTCAGAGGGGAATTAACAGGAGATAACTGATAACTGACATCCATTAAACATGACACGTGGAACTAGAACAGTCTACCACAGTGAGTGAAATAAAGGATTCAGTTCGACATTCCAACCACCTGAAGAAGGCGGGAGCGTACAACGGCCGAAACGTTGTAATAAATATGGCGACAAAAATGAGATCAATACTCCGAATAATGTAAATAGTGTCTTGTAAGTTGTCCAAACACCGATATATTTGAAATATTTAGTATTTACTAATTTTATAAACTGAATCTTTATTACGGCTTCATGGCGAGCACCTTCGCTGCTTTCATTCCAATTCCAGATCATTGTTACCGATGTTATTTATATAGCCGTTTCATCTTCTGTATATTGCATAATTTAAAGATGGTTCTTCTACTAAAAGACTTGGAATCTTTCATCACAGAAGTTGAGTTGTTAGGTCAACCCTTCAGCATATCATCACCTGCGTGTAAAAGAGTTCCATCTGCGTGTAAAAGAGTTCCATCTGCGTGTAAAAGAGTTCCATCTGCGTGTAAAAGAGTTCCATCTACAGTTCATTTTTTTTTTTATGGTTAGTGGCATGTTCTCTGTGCAACACTCTATATGACCACTTACGCTTCGTACAAAATTCCCCATCCAATCCCAAGTAAATTATTATTGAAAAAAGGTTCAAACTGCGTTTGGAGTAAAATTGCTGATTTAAAAAACGTTATACCGGCAATTTTATTTTTTTTAGTTGTGTTCTGTCGCATGTTGTTTTTTTCTGTTGCGCACTATATGACCACTTGAGTTTTATGAAAAATATTCATTTAATTCCGAGTAAATTATTGATGAAAAAAGTTCTGATTTTGGAGTAAACCTTCCGATTAAAAACGGTTCTATTTGCAATTTCCATGTGTTAACTTTTGGAGTTCTAGCCAATGTTATGTTGTCCCTGCAACACCCTTTGTGATCATTTGAGTTTTATACAAAAATATTCATTTAATCTCAAGTAATTTATATACAGTATGTTAAGACATGTTTCTCTCACATTGGGTAAATTTTATGGTGACACAAACTTTGAAGTGAAATATCTCGACACTACAAATAATGCAGGTAGAATCTATTTAAATTTGAGTGACTATATTTTAGCAATTTGTTTGTTTGTTTGTTTCTTTCTTTCTTTCTTTCTTTCTTTCTTTCTTTCTTTCTTTCTTTCTTTCTTTTACACTCAGCTTTAGAGGAAACCGTTAATTGGCCGATTAATACACCGTGACCGCATTACCACTGCATTTTGAATTCTACGCAAGGGGAAATAATTCCCAGACAATGCAGGTTCCGTCGTTTAATGCGCACGTCGGCCATATTTCCCCCTCTTGATTCTAAGTGAATTAATCTCATGTTTATGCCGAGAGAAAAGCACGATTTTATTACTACTTTTGCCGCAGCGATATTTTTGCCGTCTCCATTTTCTATGTCTTCTGCCTACTGATGGAAAGCGTCTTTGTAATCTCGTATTATCTGTCTAGACATAAAGTGATTCATAATCCGTTTCGTTGTTATCAGTATGCGTTGAGTTACTGGCAGACTAATAGAGTTTCTATTTAATATGAGGCAATTTGGCTTCCAGGAAGGAGTTCAGTGTTGCCATTATATTAATTTCACTCCTCGATCTATTCTAACACTATTTTACGGGCATTTTCAGTATTTATTCAACTTTGTCTGAGATCTATTTCATCGAAGATTTTTTTCTCCCCCAAATATTGATTTCACTCTTCTGCTGCTGCTAGTTTCCAAAACAACGCTTCAGCCGATAAATTTTACGGTCATCTTCAGATGTACATTCCCTATGGAAATAGGAATATTTTTTTCCAAGAATATGATTGCAAGCAGAAAATAAGGGTTTAAAACCCGTGCTCAGTTTTTAATAGTTTTTTTTTTCCCGAATGGCTAAATGTAAATGTAACTGCTTAATTCGAAATGTAAATGCTTAATTCGAAATGTAAATGTAACTGCTTAATTCGAAAATAACAAAGAAACTTTACTAAAAATCTATCGTTTTGGCGCTATCGACAATAAAAGTTCGAACTCATTCGCGTCGACTCCGTCCGCCATTACTGGAATGTTTACATATATTTGCCTTGGAGAAATCATGCGTGGAAGCTTACTTAGTTGACGGCCTTTATACTGATCCTATTTGTCTCAATTACTGCGCAAAGGTTAGGATTTTTGGTAAACTTGTTTAACTTATGTTATATACGGTACCTATGAACACTAATGTGTATGTCTTAATCCTCATCAATACGTTGGACACTATTGTAAGTGGGGGTAATATGCGGTCTAAGTAGTTCACCACTAGAAGTGGTTTACCTAATTCACGGCGCTGGCGAGTATTGTATCTTGTTGATCATATAAAGATTACCATTTCATTTCCAATCTCCATTTTGGTTATTCCTCATTCAGTAACCTTTGCTAGGTTACAACAATTATTTTATTTATTCCCATTCTTGATAATATTTAGCCTTGTGTCGCATCCTACCTTGTGGGAAGGCAGGAAAATATCATAATATGCTGTGTAAGAAGTCCACTACTAGCAGTGGTTTACCTATTTCATGTCACTGGCGAGTATTGTATTTTGTTGATGTTATAAAGATTACAATTTGATTTCCAAGCTCCGGTTTTGTAACGCCTCATTCAATAAGCCCTTCTGGTATACAACAGTTATTTAGAAAAAGATTGACAAATGTTGATTTTTATAATAAATTAAATAATAAAAAATAATAATTAAATAAATAATAAAACAAATTGTAATGCTAATGAAAACATATTTTAAGGTACTTTTTTAATCATCCTTTCTCAAACTACAAAATTTAATATAAAAAACAAATTCGAACCCTGTTAAATTTCGCGCAAAGTTTGCACATTGCGTGCGCATTAAATAAGGCAAGTGAAGCGTCAGCAAATAATTACTCCGAGGCAAATGTATAAAAAAAACGACAGAAACGGCTGCTGTGCTGTAGCCGCGACGCGAATGAGTCCGAAATTTTATTGTAGATAACACCAAAGCGGTAGATTTTAGCAAATTTCTTTGCTATTTTCGATTTAATCATGTAAATTTATACCTAGATATAACCATTCGGGAAATCATTATTACAAACTTAGCGCGAGGATAAAACTGCAAATTATCCAAATAAGATAGGGACACAGGCCTTGCAAATAAATGTAAAATTGAAGCCAGTTTTAATTTCTTTGCTTAGTAAATAAAATATTAAAGAATAAGATTATTTATGAGTGTAGAAAAAAAAAGGGCTTTGAAATGATCGTAGCAAACAAATTCTCTTCGAAATTTGTAAAAATAATTTTTTTTTCTAGTCCGAGAAACTTGTAATATTTAGTTTCTTTTCTAGTCCCCGAAACTTGTAGCATTCAGATTATTTTCTAGTCCCCGAAACTTGTAACATACAGTTTCTTTTCTAGTCCCCGAAACTTGTAATCGTCAGTTTCTTTTCTAGTCCGCGAAACTTGTAACAATCAGTTACTTTTCTAGTCCCCGAAACTTGAAACAAGCAGATTCTTTTCTAGTACGCAAAACTTGTAACATTCAGTTTCTTTTCTAGTCCCCGAAACTTGTAATCGTAAGATTCGTTTCTAGTGCGCGAAACTTGTAACAATCAGTTTCTTTTCTAGTCCCTGAAACTTGTAAAAATCAATATCTTTTCTAGTCCCCGAAACTTGTAACAATAAGTTTCTACTTTTGTCCCCGAAACTGGTAAAAATCAGTTACATTTCTAGTCCCCGAAACTTGTATGCAAGCAGTTTCTTTTCTAGTCCCCGAAATTTGTAGTAATCAGTTTCTTTTCTAGTCCTGGAAACTTGTAACAGTTTTTTTCTAGTCCGCGAAACTTGTAACAATCAGTTTCTTTTCTAGTCCACGAAACTAGTAACAATCAGTTTCTTTTCTAGACCGCGAAACATGTAAAAATCAGTTTCTTCTCTCGTCCGCGAAACTTGTAAAAATCAGTTTCTATTCTTGTCCACGAAACTTGTAAATGTTTCTTTTCTAATCCGCGAAACTTGTAACAATCAGTTTCATTTCTAGTCCCTGAAACTTGTAACAAACAATATCTTTTCTAGTCCCCGAAATTTGTAACAATCAGTTTCTTCTCTAGTCCACGAAACTTGTAACAAGCAGGTTCTTTTCTAGTCCCCGAAACTTGTAACATTCAGTTTCTTTTCTAGACGCCCAAAAATTGAACAATCAGTTTCTTCTCTAGTCCCCGAAACTTGTAACAAGCAGTTTCTTTCTAGTCCGCGAAACTTTTAACAATCTGTTTCTTATCTAGTCCGCGAAGCTTGTAACAATCAGTTTCTTCTCTTGTCCCCGAAACTCGTAACAATCAGATTCTTTTCTAGTCCCCGAAACTTGTAACAAGCAGTTTCTTTTCTAGTACGCGAAACTTGTAATATTCAGTTCCTTTTCTAGTCCCCGAAACTTGTAATCGTCAGGTTCTTTCTAGTCCGCGAAAATTGTAACAATCAGTTTCTTTTCTAGTCCGCAAAACTTGTAACAATCAGTTTCTTTTCTAGTCCCCAAAACTTGTAACAAGCAGATTGTTTTCTAGTACGCGAAACTTGTAACATTCAATTTCTTTTTCTAGTCCCCGAGACTTGTAATCGTCAGTTTCTTTTCTCGTCCGCGAAAATTGTAACAATCAGTTTCTTTTCTAGTCCGGGAAACATGTAACAGTCTTTTTTCTAATCCGCGAAACTTGTAACAATCAGTTACTTATCTAGACCGCGAAACATGTAAAAATCAGTTTCTACTCTCGTCCGCGAAACTTGTAAAAATCAATAGTGTAATAATCAGTTTCTTTCTAGCCCGCGAAACATTAAGAGTTTCTTTTCTAGTCCGCGAAACTTGTAACAATAATTTTCTTTTCTAGTCCACGAAACTTTTAACAGTTTTTTTCTAGTCCGCGAAACTTGCAACAATCAGTTTCTTTTCTAGTCCATGAAACTTGTCACAATCAGTTTCTTTTCTAGTCCACGAAACGTGTAACAGGTTTTTTCTAGACGGCGAAACTTGTAACAATCAGTTTCTTCTCTAGTCTGCGAAACTTGTAAAAATCAGTTTCTTTTCTAGTCCCTGAAACTTGTAACTTGCAGTTTCTTTTCTAGTCCGCGAAATTTGTAGTAATCAGTTTCTTTTCTAGTCCGCGAAACATGTAACAGATTTTTTTCTAGTCCGCGATACATTTAACATTCACTTTCTTTTGTAGTCCGCGAAGCTTGTATAAATCAGTTTCTTTTCTAGTCCACGAAACTTGTAACAGTTTCTTTCCTATTCCGCGAAACTTGTAACAATCAGTTTCTTTTCTAGATCACGAAACTTGTAACATTTTTTTCTAGTCCGCGAAAGTTGTAACAATCACTTTCTTCTCTAGTCGGCGAAACTTGTAAAAATCAGTTTTTTTTCTAGTCCACGAAACTTGTAACAAGTTTCTTTTCACGAAACTTGCAACATTTTTTCTAGGCCACGAATTTTGCAACAGTTTTTTCTAGGTCATGAAACTTGTAAAAAATTGTAACGAAATCAGTTTTTTCTAGTCCGCGAAACTTGTAAAAGCAGTTTCTTCTTTCCATGAAACTTGTAAAAATCAGTTTCTTCTCTAGTCCACGAAACTTGTAACAGTTTTTTCTAGTCAACGAAACTTACTACAGTTTTTTTCTAGTCCGCGAAACTTGATACAATCTGTTTCTTCTCTAGTTGAAACAATCAATTTTTTTTCTAGTCCGAAAAACTTGTAAAAATTAGTTTCTTTTCTAGTCCTGGAAACTTGTAACAGTTTTTTTCTAGTCCGCGAAACTTGTAACAATCAGTTTCTTTTTAGTCCAGTCAACGAAACAATCAGTTTCTTTTCTAGTTTTTTTGTCACAATAGTCCGAAACGTGTAACAGGTTTTTTCTAGACGGCGAAACTTGATAACATGTAACAGATTTTTTTTTTTCTAGTCCGCGATACATTTAACATTCACTTTCTTTTGTTCCGCGAAGCTATATATATCAGTTTCTTTTCTAGTCCACGAAACTTGTAACAGTTTCTTTCCTATTCCATGAAACAATCAGTTTCTTTTTTCACGAAACTTGTCCTAGTCCGCGAAAAAAAACTTTCTTCTCTAGTAAAATCAGTTTTTTTTCTAGTCCACGAAACTTGTAACAATCAGTTTCTTTTCTAGTCCACGAAACTTGCAACATTTTTTTCTAGGCCGCGA